CAATAACGTTCATCAGGCAGTAATACAGTACGTTCAGTTCACGTTCGCCCAAAATATGAACGAGTTCATGAACTTTCGTTCAATGAATGCGTTCAGGCACAACACTGGTCGTTTGGCTTCTTTTGCTGGCCTGTAATCCTTGATACCTGTCTATGTCTCTGAAAGGGTGGTCTTTAGAGGGAAATGTTGGCCTGGCTGAATGGGCGAGGGGTTCTGTTACCCTTGTAAGGGGGTGGGGGATTTAATATAGCGGGAAGGAATCATCTTTAAATTCTGAGTCATCCTCCTCTGTTTAAGGTTGGTTTTCCTTTCTTAACATTTATGGCTTCCTCTCAAGCCACCTATTTTCTTTGTCCAAAATGTGAACATTCTGGTCCTCAAAAGAATGTCCTTTATCCATAAGGTGTAGATGTACCGCTGATTCTTGTCCCGAGGAGGTCGCTATTCTATGTTGGGCCATGCGTCTGTGGAGAGGTTGTTTGGTTTCCCCAATGTAAAGATAAGAGCATTCCTCACTGCACTGAACTGCACACACCACTCTACTCATATGTGGTCTGGGGATTTGGTCGTTAGAATTCACTAGCCTCTGTTTGGTTTGAAATGTACTGTGAATTTGTGTTTGGAAAAAAATGTCTTGAGGTTTTCAGAGACTCCAGCAACATATAATCATATCTATCTACTCTTCATCACGTCCAGGATTCACATAACATCATCTTCTGCTCCAGGCAAAAGAAGCAGGTCATCAATTATGTCAAAGCTCCTCATTAAAAAATCCAAACTTACCATTTAAGGCTTAGATCATGGAAAACGATAACTGATTTATCCCTATAATAAAGAGCAGATCAGATACAGCATTTTTCTGGTAAAATGATGCAGTGTTAATAACTGGAGCTTAGATGGAATCAGGCTCAGAGGCGTAGCCATAAAATTTTTATAAGGGTGGCCAGGTAATAACCAATCATCCAATGACCCTGATTGAGACATAAAAAATGTATTTATCTTTAAATTAAATTAAATTAAATTA